GTGAAGAACACTGTAGTCTTGGGGTGGGTGAAGAACACTGTAGTCTTGGAGAGGGTGAAGAACACTGTAGTCTTGGGGTGGGTGAAGAACACTGTAGTCTTGGGGTGGGTGAAGAACACTGTAGTCTTGGGGTGGGTGAAGAACACTGTAGTCTTGGGGTGGGTGAAGAACACTGTAGTATTCAAGTCTGCGGTACAAATGTCGTAATTTTCTGCAATACATAATTCCCAGATAACCTTCATGCCAGCCAATATTTACGAAGTTTAAATACAAACATTTTGGAAGTACTGACAAAGGTAACCTCGGCAACACATGAACACTGTATAATGTAACTTAATACAGAGCAGACTGACAGAATTTTTAATATTAAAAAAGAAGAAATAACGAAAGGTAAGCACAAATTCTTTATATAACACTATATATATATATATATATATATATATATATATATATATATATATATATATATATATATATATATATATATATATATATATATATATATATATATATATGTCGTGCCGAATAGGCAGAACTTGCGATCTTGGCTTAAATAGCAACGCTCATCTTGCCATATATGACAAGTGAAAATTTGTGTATGCAATAATTTCGCCAAAATCATTCTGAACCTAACGAAAAAAATATATTTCACTGTGTTTGTTTAGTATTAAATTATTGTAAACAAATCTAAAATATATTCAGTTGGGTTAGGCTAAAATAAATTGCTCTTGTTATAATAAGGTTAGGTAAGTTTTCTAAGATTCTTTTAGTGCAAAATTATAATTTTTACATTAACATTAATGAAAAAAATATACCTTTAAACGCATAAGAGAAAATTTTAGAAAGGACTTAATTTTAAATGAGTTCTTGCTAATTGGCCAGTTTTACATATTCGGCACGACATATATATATATATATATATATATATATATATATATATATATATATATATATATATATATATATATATATATATATATATATATATGTGCGTGTGTGTGTATGTATGTATGTATGTATGTATGTATGTATGTATGTATGTGTGTGTGTGTACTCACCTAATTGTACTCGCCTAATTGTGGTTGCAGGGGTCGAGACTCAGCTCCTGGCGCCGCCTCTTCACTGATCGCTACTAGGTCCTCTCCCTCTCTGCTTCCTGAGCTTTGTCATACCTCTTCTTAAAACTATGTATGGTTCCTGCCTCCACTACTTCACGTACTAGGCTTTTCCACTTCCTGACGACTCTATGACTGAAGAAATACTTCCTAACGTCCCTGTGACTCGTCTGAGTCTTCAGCTTCCAGTTGTGACCCCTTGTCCCTGTGTCCCCTCTCTGGAACATCCTATCTCTGTCCACCTTGTCTATTCCCCGCAGTATCTTGTATGTCGTTATCATGTCTCCCCTGACCCTTCTGTCCTCCAGTGTCGTCAGTCCGATTTCCCTTAACCTTTCCTCGTACGACATTCCCTTGAGCTCTGGGACTAGCCTTGTTGCAAACCTTTGTACTTTCTCTAACTTCTTGACGTGCTTGACCAGGTGTGGGTTCCAGACTGGTGCTGCATACTCCAGTATGGGCCTAACAAACACAGTGTACAGTGTCTTGAACGATTCCTTATTAATGTATCGGAACGCTATTCTCAGGTTTGCCAGGCGCCCGTATGATGCAGCGGTTATTTGGTTGATGTGTGCCTCCGGTGATGTGCTCGGTGTTATGGTCACCCCAAGGTCTTTCTCCCTGAGTGAAGTCTGTAGTCTTTGTCCACCTAGCCTATACTCTGTCTGCGGTCTTCTTTGCCCCTCCCCAATCTTCATGACTTTGTATTTGGCTGGATTGAATTCGAGAAGCCAGTTACTGGACCACATGTCCAGCCTGTCCAGGTCTCTTTGCAGTCCTGCCTCATCCTCGTCCGATTTAATTCTTCTCATCAACTTCAAGTCATCTGCGAACAAGGACACTTCAGAGTCTATTCCTTCCATCATGTCGTTCGCATATATCAAAAATAGCACTGGTCCTAGAACTGACCCCTGTGGGACCCCGCTCGTAACAGGCGCCCACTGTGATACCTCTTCACGTACCATGACTCGTTGCTGCCTCCCTGTCAGGTATTCCCTTATCCATTGCAGTGCCCTCCCTTTTACATGCGCCTGATCCTCCAGCTTCTGCACTAATCTCTTGTGGAGAACTGTGTCAAAGGCCTTCCTGCAGTCTAGGAAAACGCAATCTACCCACCCCTCTCTCTCTCTCGTGTCTTACTTCTGTTACCTTGTCATAAAACTCCAGGAGGTTTGTGATACAAGATTTGCCTTCCATGAACCCATGCTGGTTTTCATTTATAATCTTGTTCCTTTCCAGGTGTTCGACCACTCTCCTCCTGATAATCTTCTCCATGACTTTGCACACAATACATGTCAGAGAGACAGGTCTGTAGTTTAGTGCCTCGTTTCTGTTTCCTTTCTTAAATATGGGGACTACATTAGCTGTCTTCCATTTCTCAGGTAGTTGCCCAGTTTCAAGGGATGTGTTGAAGATTGTGGTTAGAGGCACGCACAGCATCTCTGCTCCTTCTCTAAGGACCCATGGGGAGATGTTGTCCGGTCCCATCGCCTTTGAGGTGTCAAGGTCACTTAAGAGCTTCTTCACATCCTCCTCAGTTGTTCGTATGTCATCCAACACTTGTTGGTATATTCCCTCTTGATGTTCCCTTCTGTGCTGTCTTCCCACAGCCCTTCCTATCTCTACTGTAAAAACTTCCTTAAATCTCCTGTTCAGCTCCTCACATACCTCCTGATCATTTCTTGTGAGTTCTCCACCTTCTGTCCTTAATCTGATCACCTGGTCTTTGACTGTTGTCTTCCTCCTGATGTGGCTATACAACAGTTTCGGGTCAATCTTGATTCTCGATGCTATGCCATTTTCATACTGTCGCTGGGCCTCCCTCCTTACCTGTGCGTACTCATTCCTGGCTCTGCGACTGATCTCCCTATTTTCGTGTGTTCTCTGCCTTCTGTACTTTTTCCATTCTCTATTGCACTTTGTTTTTGCCTCCTTACACCGTCGGGTAAACCAGGGGCTCGTTCTGGTCTTCCCGTTGTTACTGTTGCCCTTGGGAATAAACCTTTCCACTGCCTCCTTGCATTTTGTTGTGTGTGTGTGTGTGTGTGTGTGTGTGTGTGTGTGTGTGTGTGTGTGTGTGTGTGTGTGTGTGTGTGTGTGTGTGTGTGTGTGTGTATGTGTGTGTGTGTATGTTTGTGTGTGTGTGTGTGTGAAAAAATAGTGAAATTCCAAGCGCTTTCGTGATGTCTCACATTATCAAGGATCTATAATAATAACAGAACAGCACAAAGCTATATAACGCTAAGGTATCACCAGACTATCACGTCCGGCATTACTCCCGCTCCATTATGATGCGGGTGGGATAGTCAAAGACATGTCAAACATAGCTGAAATTCTTCCCAAATTTTATGATTCTAATTTGTCAAACATAAATCAGATTCTTCCCAAATTTTATTAATTATAAATGAATCTAATTTGTATAATCCTAAATCATTATTCATATTAAAATCCAAACTATTTTTTATGAAGTTTGTTTTCCCTTTTCTTCCTCATTTATTGGCACCCAGCTGGGAATATCACATCTGTTATTTTTCCTTGTTAATTTCGTTTCTGTGATAACTAATATATATGGTCATAGCCCTCCTATTCCTTCATTTAATTCATTTTTTATATATTTCATCTACATTCGTGTACATTCATTTTCCTTTATTATATTTTGTCAATGATTTTTTTTTTGTTTTCGTGGGATGGAGAAGTGATAATATATGAGATTTTTTTATTTGAAGTCCATTAGGTGATGGGAGATGTGTGGGGAGTCTTTGCATGTGAGGAAGATGTGTGAGAAACTTTTGAATGTAAGGGAGATATGTGGGGAGTTTTTGTCTGTAAGGGGGATGTGTGGAGAGCTTTTGCATGCGAGGGAGATTGAGTGCTTACAGCTGGAGCTTAGACTACGACAGGGGCCGTGGTTATTTTCCTGGTAGTAGTGGGGAAGGATTTGGGGAAATCCTGCCTTGGTAGGGCAGTGTGGATAGGAAGTATGGATAGTTGGTAGAGGTGCGAGGGGAGAGGATGAGAAAGGCAGCGTAATAAAGCGCGAAGAATAAAGAGGCAACAGCAGAGACAACACAGGAAGCCTGAAAGACAAGGCGCTCAGACACTGCTGGATTACAACCCTAGTCAATCAACCGGATTTAAATGTATTTTCGTAATAAATAATGTATTAGTGTATTTTTAGGGGGAATGGGGGGTTTACCATTGATTCTTATATGCGCTAGACCCGTATGTATTACACAGCATGAAAGAATATACCCACAGTCAGGAGAGTCCGTTCTGGTAGAGCAGCTGTTGCAAGAGATGCAAAATTCTGTGTTGTTGTTTAGTACAACTTGTATATGATCATCACATTAACATGTGATGATCACTTACATGTTGCACTCGTGCAGATGAGGGCGGCGAGGCGGACCCGTAACAGCACAGTGTGCGGTCAACACACGACCGTCAGCGCTACAACAAGAGTGTCAGTCGTATCGCTACTTTGCGCTGACAGCATTTTGAAAAATGATTTTGGTGGAGCGAGTTGACTGAATGGGAAGATTATGACTGTCACTCCACGTCGCCTGCTTCCTGAAAACATCTGTTATGTTTCCACACGTGAGCGACTCTGTGTGTGTGAGTGTGTGTGTGTGTGTGTGTGTGTGTGTACTCACCTATTTGCGATTGTAGGGGTCGATTCACTAGTCGCTACTAGGTTCACTCCCTCCCGCCTCCAAGAGACTTGTACTCTTCTTTAAGCATGTATGGTCCCTGCCTCCACTACTTCACTCTCCAGATTGTTCCACTGCCTGACAACTCTAAGGCTGTGTGTTTGTGAAGGTATGACAACAGACGATGTTGCATTACACAAAAGCTGGCACTTGCAGGAGTTTGTGTAAACTGTTGCAGATGGAGCAGCAAGGCGTGGACTACCGTGTGGTGGGAGGCTGGGGAGCGGTGACTGTAGATGCTGACGGGGGCGTGAGGTTATGGCGCGCCCTAGACCGTGAAGCTCCGGGCGGGGAGGTGGGCGTGGCGAGGGTGGTGGCCGTGGATGAAGGCCGCCCATCCCTCTCCTCCACCGCCACCCTCACCATCACCCTCACAGACGTCAACGACTGCCCCCCGCGGCTCCTGCCCCCCACCGTTCTCCACGTGAGGGAGGGCGGCCCCGCCTCCCTCCTGGGTATCCTCACAGCTACTGACGATGACGTGTGGGCGCTGGGGCACGGTCCTCCCTTCACCTTCACCCTGGCTCCCTCCAACCCTGCCCACGTCTTCAATATTATCAGCATTAACTACCAGGCAGGTAAGTACCATCCAGGTACCAGGCAGGTCAGTACTACCCACGTACCAGGCACGTCAGTACCACTCACGTACCACGCAGATCAGTACCACCCACGTACCAGGCTGACCAGTACCACTTACGTTCCAGGCAGGTCAGTACCACCTACGTACCACACAAGTCAGTACTACCCACTTACCAGGCAGGTCAGTACCACTCATGCACCAGGCAGGTCAGCACCACTTAACACACCAGGTACTAACCACGTACCACACAGGTCAGTACCAACCACTCCTATACCACCATCACGTCTCCATACAGAACATCAACATCTCCAAGTAACTGTCTTGTCCAATCCTTTCTTATATTTCTTCCGGTTTATGTTGAACTGATGTGTGGACATGATGATGTTGGTCCTGGCTTGGTGACGTCTGATCACCATGCTATGCTTACTTAACCATCGGCTGTTAAACTGTGCTTAGAGTCGCTATCATTCAGGAACGTTCATGCTGGAACGTTCATGCTGGAACGTTCATGCTGGAACGTTCATGCTGGACAAGGGAATGAACCATACATGGGACCAGATCCACCTCCATCCTTGACACTGAGGAATGACGGTCTTCATGACACATGCCTCGCGCTGTCTGCGCCCCATACTTAGTTAGTTTAATATGTTTATTATGCACCTCATATCCATCCTGTGGGCGGTAGTCAAAAGATTACAGAGGTACATAATGGGTCCAGGGACTGGGCCTCAAAGTTTTGATAGCTGAGCAAGTTACAGAGGTAATGAATTCACAATTTACAAAGGTAATGAACTCACAATTTACAAAGGTAATGCCCCATACCCCCACGGGACTTTCAGAAAAGCCCAGTGATACATTCGTTACTTTTTGCAGTCTAAGATATACGAGAAATCGAGATACATAGACTCGTCTGGCTTGATATAGTGCGAGTGCGCAACTTAGCTAATCTGTCAGGGATATTTACCATTACACGACAGGAGATTTTAAAATTAGGAATTTTCAAATTCTAAGTTGTTCCAAGAATATATACGATGGGGCGTTCGTTTATGTACGTTTTCTAAAATGTTCGTGCGAAATGTTTTTATTGGCTGATGCTGTGTCGAAACATGAGTGAATATCTTCCATAACTTGTATGTAAATTTTGCTGGCCATGAAATCAATTAAGGAAGAAAATTTAAAATAGCTCTCTCTCTCTCTCTCTCTCTCTCTCTCTCTCTCTCTCTCTCTCTCTCTCTCTCTCTCTCTCTCTCTCTCTCTCTCTCTCTCTCTCTCTCTCTCTCTCACACACACACACACACACACACAGAAGGGTCAGGGGAGACATGATAACGACATACAAGATACTGCGGGGAATAGACAAGGTAGACAGAGATAGGATGTTCCAGAGAGGGGACACAGAAACAAGGGGTCACAACTGGAACTGAAGACCAGCGGTCACGGGGACGTGGGAAGTTTTTTTCTTCAGTCAAGCCCGTCGGGAAGTGGAATGCTAAAAGGAGTGTGGGGGCAGAACCATAATAGTTTTTAAAAAGGGGTATTAAAAACTGGGAAGCAGAGAGGGAGGACCTAGAGCGACAGTGAAGAGGCGGGCCAGGAGCTGATCTGCCCCCGCAACCAAAATTAGGTGGTACACACACACACACACACAAACATACTACTAATTTGTGTGTGTATATATAATATAATACATTATATATTATATTTAAAATATAATATAATAATATATAATATTTTTATATTATATATATATATATATAATATATATATATGCAAAAACCACTCTGAAAAAATAGAGAAATTTCCAAGCGTTTTCGTGACACTCACATTATAAAGGGAATATGAAAAAAAAAGCACCCAAAGGGGAAGCTATATAAGGGGGTTTTGGCCCACCTCACTACAATCCCCAAGGGAAAAAACACCTGACGCGCGCCGACCCAACTTGGATGGGTCCTTTGCAAAACCACCCCACAAACTTTTCTACCCAAGAAAATTTCAAAATTATTTGTCCATGTATTATTAAATTCTTCCCAAATTCTTTTAATTATAAATATCAAATTTAATAAACAAAGGGAAATATTCATATTATTGTCAAAACGCTTTTTATAAAACAAGATTCATTTACCTGTCGCCCATGGACTGTTTGTACTACTTTTCAACTTTTTGAAAATAAATTTGGAGGGTTAAAAAATCTTTTTACTGAATAAAAGAGATTGGAATCTTTTTCCGTTCTAATGCTATATTTATGTTTTTTAATCTTAGTTCGAGTTTTTTACCAGTTTGACCGTATAAACTTTATCGAAAATTTTTACAAGGAATCTTAAACAATCCATCAGCATTTTTGGGGGGAATTTTTTACAAAATTTTTTTTTACTGTATCAAGTTTTTTGAACTCAACTTTAATAAAAAAAGTTTTAAGAAGAAAGGCATATCAACCAATTTTCATGGAAAGGGGAGAACCAACATTTTTTAGTTAAATAAGGCTGGTTGCCCCTTTTGGATTTAAAAAGTTTTTCTACAACTTAAAAGTTTTATCAATTAATTTCTTGGGTTTTTTAAATCATTACCTATTTTATTTAAATTTTTTGGGTATTTCCTCATCTTTTAAATCAGGACTACAAATTCGTAAAACTCTCAAAAACATTGATGAGAAAAAAACAGTTTGACTCTACTTGATCGAGGAATAATAGTGACTGGGAAAATTATTTGTAGGTTTTCGTAAATTTTAAAAATTTTAATTCTTATTACCCCTTTAAAAATTAAAAACTAAAAGGCAATATTATTTTCTTTAAACTCAACAGTAAAGTTTTAGAATGGGAAGTTTGTGGGGGAGTTGTCAAAGGGCTACAAAATTGGGGCGGGGGCGTCAGGGGTTTAACCCTTTTGGGGTTATAGTGGGGTTTGGCCCGACCCCCTTTTATACTTCCCCGGGTGCTTTACTTTCATAGTTCCTTTAAGTAGTATCACGAAAGGCCTTGGGAAATTTTTCTTTCTTTTAGATGGTTGTTTTGCATATTCGAAATCACCGTTTATGTGATTTATTCAATTATATATATATATTTATATATATATATAATAATTATATAAAATTTTTTATAATAATTTAATAATTATATATTTAAAAATATAAAAATGTTGCGGGGGGGGACCCCCACCAGGGAAGGTGACCCCCAAAAAGAAAACTTCCAAATCACTCACACTGCACTGCCTTGCCAGAGGCGCCAGATACGTCAGTTTAGATATCACTCTAAACAGAAATATCCCAAAACCTCTCCCTTTTAAAATTAAGTATTCATTAATTCTCTTATACAGTGCTTTCCGTACTTTTATAAACAACGGATAGAAAAAAAGTATAATGAGGGGTGGTTCACACATCCTCTGAACTTTGTAACAAAAAATATAACATATAGAACATATAAAATATAGATAATATAACTATAGATAATATAACATATAGATTCAATAAATTAGAACATAAACATATAGATAATTAAATTAGTTACATAAGATACATTAACATTAGTACTATAAATATGATACATAAACTTAGACAATATAACATATGTACATATAACATATTTAAACATATAAAATATAATACATATAACATATTGACACAAAAAACATATAGATAAATATAACATTAAAATTACATTAGTACATATAACATATAGATACATTAACATATTTGATACATATAACATATAATACAAAAAACATAAGACACATAAACTATAGAACAATAACATATAGACACATATAAATATAGATACATAAACATATAGAACATATAAACAATAGATACATATAACAAATTTTGAAAAATTAACATATGATAATATAAATATAGAAACTATAATTATATGTCATATGTTAAGGTCCTGGTACAAACACTGCGCCTTGACAACCTGCCTTAACACACCCGCCTTTACACACCCCACACAATAAAAAAGGGTTCTGCTGTAATATATTTGTTGAGAGTTATTCAGAAGAACACATCTGACCAACAATACAAAGGTTAAAGATTTGGTTTCCGTAAAAGCGTACCCAACATAAGCTCGTGGGGGGGAGCCCAGATCAAAAGGTTTTCCTGGAGTTTCCTGGAGAGGTTTTGGGGTCAACGCCCCCCGGGCCCGGTCGAGACAGCCCAAAACATACCCCAATCTTTTAACATTTCATTTTTATCCCATAAACCCCGGCTGCCTTCCCCCTTTTCATTTTACCTACTCCCTCACAACTTCCCCCACACTCACAACGGTCTTCCTCACTCCTCAAATTTTATTCCCCTTCCCCAAAACAAAAACACAGCTTCCCTATCTCATAAAACTTAAAAAATTCCTAAAATATTCCTTCCATTTTCCCAATACCTCTAACTCTCCTTTTAATAACTCTCCTCCCCTATTTTTAACTGACAAATCCATTTGTTTCTCTGGGCTTTCTTAACTTGTTAATCTCACTCCAAAACTTTTTCTTATTTCAACAAAATTTGTTGATAACATCTCACCCACTCTCTCATTTGCTCTCTTTTTAACTTTGCTTCCACCACTCTTTTAACTTCTCTCTTTTTTCCATAACTCTTCCCTCCTTGCATCACTTCTACTTTGTAAAAACTTCTCATATGCTAATTTTTTCTCCTTACTACTCTCTTTTACATCATCATCCACCAATCGCTCCTCTTCCCTCCTGCACCCACTTTCCGTAACCACAAACTTCTGCTGAACACTCTAACACTACATTTTTAAACCTACCCCATACCTCTTCGACCCCATTGCCTATGCTCTCATTAGCCCATCTATCCTCCAATAGCTTTTTAAATATCTTACCCTAACTGCCTCCTCTTTTAGTTTATAACCTTCACCTCTCTCTTCCCTGAGCTTCTATTCTCCTTGTATCCCATCTACCTTTTACTCTCAGTGTAGCTACAACTAGAAAGTGATCTGATAATCTGTGGCCCCTCTATAAACATGTACATCCTGAAGTCTACTCACAGTCTTTTATCTA